CTGTATGATCCTCAAGAACTGCATTCTAGTATGGATTTACAGATGATATGTTAGAGTGGCCTGATTATGCAGTGCACTGGTTAGAACTCGATGCTCGAATGTTGCTCGATTTATGATTTTAGGAACCACTGTTAATACTAGTTATATATCAAGAGAATATGTTAGGTTACATGTTTCAGAAATTATATAATTTGAGAAGGTTATGTTTAACTCTATTGCATAGCTCTTGTTTGAGTCCAACCGTTGTAGTGTGAGACATGGAAGTCAAAGAATTATATATTGTCTGTTGCATGTAATTATATTTGAGAGGTAGTTAGCGGGTATTAGTGGGAGTTCATTCTACAATTGGTGGAGGAGAGCGGTGTGGAGGGAATCCTAGGACAATATAGGAAGTATGTTAGCTTGGCAGATGCATTGTTTAATAGGAATGAATGATGTTTGGTATTAAGGAGTAACTTAGGGAAATCGGGACAACTCTTGAGGAAAGTACGGATAGGTGTGGAAGGTAGTATTGGGCCCGTACTATTGAAAACATAGGATCTGTACTCGAGTAAGGGGGGGTCACGAGGATACTAAGGAACTCATAGGGTGTGGGATTCTTCAAGTGTTTTCTGATGGGTTGCATTATTTATTTTTAGTATGGTGGTCACTCGAGGAGGTTTAGATTCTGATGATAGACCGGGTTCGGGATCTGGGGCTGGACTCTTGGATAAACAGATACGAGATTTCATTTCATCAGCGGTCACTCACAATATTTTGTAGCAGACTCCTGTGATCTTTGGTACGATAACGGAGGGCATTACAGAGATATTGGATGAGATACAAGAGTTTGTGAGCATGTCCAGCTGCAGGACTTTGGAGGACATGATAGCGAGGGTCCGTGAGCGGGAGATAGATATGACATCATCAGATTGGGGGAGATTGTAAGGTTGAACCTTATAATCTGATGAGTCAAGAACTAACACACGCTGACCATCAGCACCAACGGCAGTGGCAGCGGCAGCGGCAGTGTTAGCGCAAGCTCTAGAACTCCAATGTCAATATGAAATCTTTTGTATAGTAGGTTGTATGTTATTATAGAAAGTATAGTTGTTAGCCTACTGATATGATATCTTTGTGATTAGGATCATTTTATATTAGATTAGATACAATCTCTTTTATGTCATGATTTATATTTAATAGTTTAGTATATAATCTTGTAATAGGGTTAAACTCTAAATGATTTCTTTATGTGTTACTTTGTGATGCTTTATGCACCTCGTTCTCTTTGTGAGAACCATTCTTAGTGAAACCATCTTTGTGATAATTCTGTATGAATCGTTATTTCAACTTGTTTGTATCCGATCTATGATCCTACAGTCGCTCGTGCCGGGTAAATTCTTGAATCTTCAAAAAATCATATCTTTTGCATACGAGCTCCATTCTCGACTTTCTTTATATCGAAGAGTACTACAACTTTCATTTATACCTCAACTGCTAATTCACATTTTATTTTTAATTTACAGTATATAAGAATTACACTATAAAAGACCTTGTGAAATTAATTACTCCTTCATATGAGCTCCATTCTCGACGTTCTTTATATCGACATATTCGTATATCCGAGGAAATCAACTTTCGTTTAGATTATTTTATCTAATGAGCAACTGATCTCCATTTCACTTTTTATGACACAAATTGTTGTATCGGGTTAAACGCGGAACTTTGAAAAATCATAACTTCTTCATACGAAGTCAGATTTGGGCTTTCTTTATATTCACAGGCTCATAATCACGACTACTACAACTTTTTTTAATACTATTTATCTTAAATAATCTTTTATTTTTAAACGTTTATTTAACGTAATTCGTTAAATTTATAATAAGGTTTTATACAAATACTATAAGCCCACAACATTTGTCCATAAAATATGTACGCAATATATAAATATCATTTATATAACCTGTATCGCATACGAATGATTCTTATTTATTTATGATTATCCTATTCGAGGATTTATTTGTTCGGATATTTATAACTTATAATCCTTAAAACGTCTAGCACAAATACGTGGGAGTAACACTCTACTTTCTACATTATCCAGGAGATCAGGTTTAGAAAACACTCTCATGTATAGTCAATACAACTTTACACCTGGTGTATAATCAATAATTGAGAAAGGGGAGATAACGAAGAGCAGAAAAAGAATCACAAGAGGGGTGGAAGATTGTATGTTGGTTCTATGAGTTTCAACGGTTATCAGTGGAGTACTTCTATGCTCCATATCTTCAAAATAAGAGAGGAATTTTCCTATATAGATTGAATTTTCAATTTTCGATTTGTAAGTGGCGAAGTTTTCCACCAATTTTCTTTGGTTTTTTGGTGACATGCAGGTGGAGGAGGTTGCAGTGGCGCCGATTGGCTTTAGTAAAGTCGATGGAGATAGAAGAAGGTACATGGATAGGATTTCGTGTGGTCTACTTCTGGCTTGCTAGTTACAGAGTTTGTCCGATATATTGTAAATGATGGCTGCTTTCGGCATGTAGGTTTCTACGCAGGATATCGACATGTAGTTTTCTACGCAGGATATGATGGTGAAGATGGTATTACCAGAGAGTTGATTTCCAAGCTTTTACATGTTGACATTGTCATAGGGACTGAAGTTAACAATGAATCGGTGGTTTTGAACCTGAAGAGGTCGAAGTCTTCTGAAGATGAAAGGACAGGGAGATACTAATGAGGGTGGGGTACTCGACCCACCTTATTTACTAAACATTTTTTATAAAAGGTAAATAATATATATAATGTAAAATTAGAAAAATAATAAACAATGGCAATATAATCTTTTTAATCATAACAAAGACCAAGCATGTAACGAAGTCAAACTATAGAGACGATCCAAGTTAAAAAAATGGTTAAGGACCAAATAAATAGATCACCCCAAACCACATGGACCATTCGTGTAATTTACCCTATTTTATATTTTACAAAAAATGTTATTTCCTTTATTTATTTTTACAAATTGATATAATTAACTTTTTTTAAAAAAAAAATTATGTTTATATTTTATATTTTACAAAAATGTTTTTTTTATGTAATTTTATATATATATTAAAAACTCTAAATTATTGTTATTGAATCGAACATTCATATACAAATAAAAACTATAATTTTTAGCTTTCAGTCCACAACTACCAACTACCAGCTAATTTTACTGTCTTATATAATGGGAAATTTTATACATACCTTCCAAATTGTTTTGTGTAATCTTTATAAATTTAATAATATATACATGTGATTGGGAAAATGACTGGTAAGGGTAATTACTTTTACATCTTGTTCACGTTTGAGCGAACTTCTTTTTTTGTACACATTTGACCATTTAACTTGTTAAATGTGTTCATATATTATCATCGTTACCGGCTATAACAGGTAACAATGATAATATATGAACATATTTAACAAGTTAAATGGTCAAATGTATACAGAAAATGAAAGTTGCATAAACGTGAACAATTTTTTTTATTTACAAATTTCTTAAGACTCTTTATAATTTCTTACAACATTTTTAAGATATTTTTTTCTTATAGTTTTTTCTAATAAAATGTTTTAAACTTTGCTTATAATTTTTTTTTAAACTTTTTTTTATACTTTCATATAATTTTAAATACAAATGCTTTTAAACCAAATATTTTATAAATGTTTAAATTTTTTCTATAGATTTTTAACATTTTTTTTTTTCATTTTCATATAATTATTTTTTAACTTTCATACAATTATTTATAAACTCTCTTTTGTGACATTTTTAAAGTGGTTCACAAATTTTATATGACAATTTAATACCTTTTTATAACATTTTAAAATACTTTCGTTAAATACTAGTTTAAAACGTTGTATTAAAAAAATTAAAAGTTTATAAACTTCAAATTAAAAAGTATTAAAATGTTGTAATAGTTTTAAAATATTTACATTATACATATTTTGTGTTTTTTTTTTATTTTGCTACGTAATATTTTCTTTTTATTTTTTTAACAGACCATCCACACTTATTGTTACATATTTAATTTATTTAATTTTATTGTTAGATACTATTTACTTTAAAAATATTGTATATGCTTAAAAAAAATATATATATAAGAGCATATATAAAATATTTCACAAAACAAAAATATATTTATTAATTAGAAAATAAAGTTTAGAATTTATCAATATTTAATTAATATTTAGGATATTATGGATACTTTAAAAATAACGTTTGAAAAAAAATAATACAAACAAATATGAAAAATAAAATCGCTATTAAAAGCGGGGAAAATGACTTATCAAGGTAATTAAATTTTCATTTTGTTCATATTTAGACAACTTTCTTTTTTGTACATATTTGATTGTTTAACTTGTTAAATGTGTGCACATATTATCATTGTCACCTGCTATAGCCCGAGACAATGATAATATATGAATATATATAACAAGTTAAATGGTCAAATATGTACAAAAAATAGAAGTTGTCTAAATGTGAACAAAACGACAAAGATGATTACCTGATAAATCATTTTACCATCTATGATTTGACAATGGGTGATGCTAATAAGTCACCCCATTGACCCCTTTATAAAAAGTCAATTTATAATTAATTATTTATAATTAGTTTTTTCGAAAAACAATTTAATTTCAACTAATAAAAATATTTCAAAATTTAAATAGAGTGTTATATGATAAAACTTAGTGTCTTTTTTAGCCAACCCTTTGACAAAATATATACGATCGAGGAATAAATAAACACCCTCTCTGATCACATTGTTAAATTAATACGTTAGCATTGATCAACTCTTCATTCATTATCTCTTTGAAACAAGTGGTATTTTTGTTTTTTTATAGGGTAGGTATATATTAAAATGTTTGACTTCAAGTGTCAACCATCACATTACGGAAACTACGGCCTATTGTACTTCTCCACCTCCTAAAATACTCTTGTCCTCCTCCGTACATCTCTTTCTCTCTCTCTCGATTACAATATCTTCATATCTTTATCATCTTTGCAACACAAAGTCAATAATCTCTCTCTTTCAATCTAGACTATAATTTCTAAATTTCCTACACAATCTCTTTCATTGAATTCACACCCAAATTGGGTGTGTTCAATCACGGAATTTGTTGTACTATAACTACATATTATATATAGATACATAATATCTATATATCTATAGGTTGAAAGAGATAAAGATTGAAATTAATAAATTAAATACTATTAAAAGATGATGACGACGATGCTGATGAAGGTTGATTATTCAAAATCAAGAAGAAAACATTTTGGAAACCCCCATATAAGGCTTCCTTCTTCTTCGTCTTCATCATCCTCCCAAAACATCATGGTTGCAGAAAAAACAGATATGCAGGAGGTTGTGGATATGAGTGCCATGTCTTTAGACACCCTCCCTATCAGTTCCAATTTTAATTTAGCCATCATTCGTGTCTTAGATATCTCCAACAACAATCTCCAGGTAATATCACCCCTTTAAATGCTTTTACATAAATACGTGTTAAATATTTATCATTTGGATTTAGAAGATTTTATGATTTTGCAGGTGATACCGGAATCATTAGCAGCAAGGCTGCTGAACATGGTGGCGTTGGATGTTCATTCAAATCAACTCAAGACTTTACCCAATTCGATTGGATGTATGTCAAAGCTCAAGTCTTTAAACGTCTCCGGTAATCATCTTCAATCTCTCCCCAAAACCATTGAAAATTGCAGGTATTCTTTTAATTAAATCTTTATGCAGAATTTTTTATAGAAAAAAAGAATTTGAGATTGATGGGTTTAAATTTACAGAGCACTGGAAGATTTAAATGCAAATTTCAATCAGCTGACGACGCTGCCGGACACCATAGGATTTGAGCTGATCAACCTCAAGAAACTCTCCGTCAACTCCAACAAACTCATCTTCCTCCCTACGTCCACCGGCCACCTCACCAATCTCCGCCACCTCGACGTCCGTCTCAACCGCCTCCGCTCTCTCCCCGACGACCTCGAAAGTTTAATCAACCTCGAAATCCTCAACGTCAGCCAGAACTTTCAGTACCTCGAAACACTACCCTACTCCGTTGGCCTCCTCATTTCCCTAGTCGAGCTGGACGTCAGTTATAACAAGATCACCGCCTTACCGGAATCTATCGGCTGCCTGAAAAAGATCCGGAAGCTCAGCGTTGAGGGAAACCCGATGGTGTCTCCGCCGCCGGAGGTGGTGGAGAAAGGTGTACAAGCAATCAAAGAATACATGAGCGAGAAGATGACTGGAGCCAATGATATTTCTCCAAAGAAAAGGTCTTGGATCGGGAAGTTGAAGAAATATGGGACGTTCAATGGGATCCGTAGTACGCCGGAGAGAGAAGGTTTTTTAATGCCGAGTTACAGGACAATCGACGGATTTGCTTCTTCTCCGAGACACATAAGCATGTTCTCACCGCGTCGGCTTTTCTCGCCGAAAAGGGATTTTACAAGATGAAAGAAGTGGTGGCCATTTTGTAAAAGACTACTTAGGGTTGCAAAGTCATGGTGACATATTATGCATGTCGTGTTTTTATAATTTCTTTTTATTTTTCTTTTCTTTTAGTGAATATTGGTGTTTTTCTAGTCTGTAAGTTTAGAAATGGTAATGTGAAAAATGCATATATATGAACTTTGATATATATGAAGATTAGGGGTGTAAGCAAGATGATGATCACTTGTTTGTGTGGTTTTCAGATTGGTTGATGTGTAATGAGCTCGAGCCTATGGTGAGTCCGGTCCTTGTAGTGTTAAAATTGGAGCACAACACCACGAGCATATTATAAGAAAGCCTTTCACAAAAAATCCAAACCCATATTTTTTTTTTCTCGACCCTTTAACTCTATTTTTTATTTAAAACGATAGCTAAATTTTACTCAAGAAAAAAAATATAAATAAATAACGGAGGAAGTTGCACAAAATTACAAAATTCAACAAAAAATAAAGACTACATTTAATTAGTTCATTCCACATATTTAACTGTTCAAAATTTTAAATATGTGGTATAATTTTAAATATTCAAAGCAATTAACATATTTTTTTAATAGCCAATAATAATGTTTTATTTTCACATATGAATCTCTTAACTCCAATTCAAACACCCTAACTCAATTAGGATTTGATTTATAACGTTACACTCAAAACATGTAACTTTTTAATACCGATCAATTTTTTTTCCTTTTTTTTTTCCATTTATGAGTTAATAAATAATAATATTTTTTATTGTATAATAAAAACGCATGTTAAAATTCTTATTTAATTTCTTTACTATTAAAATAATTTAAAAAGTCGTAACTATTTAAATGCAAATTAATCGACTTTAAACCCTTTCAACCAATTTGAATGTTTGATATTTTTAGTTGAGATCTTTTTTAATTTTAACGTATCTCACACTCACATGTTACATATAATATATTGTCCAATACAACCCATAAATAAATATTATAAAATCAATGCCTCTAATTCCTATCAATCTTCTTGGATCTGTAGCCCTAAACTTATAATAAAATCTATTAGAAAAGTTAAATAAAATCTATGTTAAATAACCAATAAAATAAAAGTAAATAATAAAATCATAAAAAACAAAAAACGATTACAGGTTAATTTAGTCTTTCACAAATGGTCTATCTTATCTTTTTTTCCATTGATTTTAGATGATCATAGAATGAATTACAAATAAAAAAAAAAGTAAATTACACGAATGGTCCCTATGGTTTAAAGTAATTTGCGCGTTTGGTCCCTAACTTATTTTTTTAACTTGGAAGGTCCCTACTGTTTGTTTTTGCTACGCGTTTGGTCTCTGTCTTATCTAAAAGGACTATTTTTTCCTTGATTTTTTTAATTTATTTAAATAAACACACCCTCAACCCCACCCTTTCACCTTACCTTATATACCCTACCATTTTTCTCTATTTAAATAATAATTTTTTTAGGTAAGACAGGGACCAAGCGTGTAACAAAAATAAATAGTAGGGACCAAGCGTGTAAATAGTAGGGACCAAGTGCGTAACAAAAACAAACAGTAGGGACCTTCCGAGTTAAAAAAATAAGATAGGGACCAAACACACAAATTATCCCAAACCATAGGGACCATTCGTGTAGTTTACTCTAAAAAAAATTACAAAATTAATCGTAAAAATAACAAAAAGGAGGATTTGTAAGATAAAAAACTTGATAAATAGTTAAAAATTACTAAAAAATAAATAATCATTACATGATATTCATATCTATATTTTGTTATATGACAAACTCTTTTTTATAAAAATAAAGAAAAGCTTTTAAATTCTACAAACATAATCTATGTTAGAAATAACTAAATA